TAAGCCTATCTTTTATTCTAAGACTTTTATAGTTTTAACTCTTATATTTAGGTCTTTAATCCATTTTTAGCTAACTTTGATGTGAGGTAGGGATCCAACTTCATTCTTTTTGCGTGTGGATATTCATTTGTTCCAGCACCATTCATTAAAAAGACTTTCTTTGCCCCATTGAATTATTTTGACACCCCTGCTGAAAATCAGTTGACTGTAAGGGACTTTCTGTTTTGAGGAACATATTCACATTGTTCCTCTTTTCCCCCAAGATTGCCTGAAATTTTTTTTGTTAAATCAAAAAAAAAATTAAAACAATCTCAAAAAAGTTGCAAGTACATTTCGAAAACTTGATTTTTTTGAACCATTTGAGAGTAAGTTGTCAACATGCTGCTGCATGATGACCATGTTTATGTGTACTTATCAAAAACAGGCACATTTTCCTACACAACTACAATACAACCATCAAAGTCAGAAAATTAACCTTCCTGTATTATACCATATTATCCTCAGATCACATTCAGGTTTTGCTCTTTGTCCCAATAATGTCCTTTATAGCAAAAGGATCCAGTCCAGAATCATACATTGCATTTATTTGTCATGATTTTTTAATCTTCAGTCTGAAACATTTCCTCAGTCTTCTTTCTTTGACTTTCACAACCTGCACATTTTTGAAGATTACAGGCCAGTTATTTTGTAGAATGTCCCATGATCATGGTTTTCTGATGTTTTCTGATGATTACATTCAATTTATGCATATTTGGCAGAAATATCATAGAAGTGATGTTGTATCCTTCTCAGTGCATTATTTTGGGGCCCATGATTTCACCATTGCTTGTTTTTTTTTTTTTTTTTTGAGACAGAGTCTCACTCTGTTGCCCAGGCTAGAGTGCCGTGGAGTCAGCCTCACTCACCGCGACCTCAAACTCCTAGGCTGAAGCGATGCTCCTGCCTCAGCCTCCCGGGTAGCTGGGACTACAGGCACACATCACCACGCCCCAGCTAATTTTTTC